ACACACGATTGAATCCAATAATCATAACAAACTTAAAAGATTCACCCTTTTTCATAGTATTGTCGAACTCTAAAAGTGGAGATTGAGTTTCAAACCTTTGTAGATCAAATGGAAGAGTGATAGATTGAGAAAACCTCGCGAAATCGTGAGGTTTAGGCTTAATAATCGTCCAAATCAGAGCAAAACTGAGTGAATTAGGGTTTATAAATGAGAAACCTCCATTATCTCCCCTTTTTCATGATGGCACAGAAGAGAGTGACGGGTTTGATCCCAAAAACACGAATTAGTTGGTTAAATCGTGTGTGGTCGTTTCAATCAAGTATGAATTAAACCGTATATAACCGAAAAACCAGGAAATCGATTTGGAAGACTTACATGGGCACGGGATCGATCGATCTTATATAGGGACCGATCAATCGCTGAATGATCGATCTGTGCCGATTGACTGAACTAGACAAGTTCGATAAGTTTAAACTCCGTGAATTTTTTATGTTTCTGTTTAATCATCGAGATCGACCGGTCAGATCGACCGTCTATTTTGTAGATCGATCGATCCCGGTGAATGGAGCAATTTATTCTTCTTGTTTTTTATCGATTTGAGGATTTCTATTTATTATTTTTTTGATTTTTTATTGAATTTAAGGACATTATTTCCATTAAAAAGATATTTAGTCTAATGAGACATAAAAAATAATAGAGATTAGCCTAAAGGAACAATGTTACCATTCTTTTGTCTAAAAAAAAACAGTTTTTCCAATTCTTTTAGATATATATATTGTTGCGCTAAACTACCAGCATACGACAGGAGCATATTTCTATATATCCAAAACATTTCCTGTTATTGCTTCAAAATAAAGAAAATAAATAGATATTCTTATTATTTTTTTATTTTTTTGACAACGAACGGCTGATCTGTTACTCAAGCTTGAGGTGGTCTGGGAATCCAGACCGGAATAGAACAACCAACATACACAAATCTCGATAGAAAGATCGAGCAGTCTTAGCTAGGAAATCGGAAACTCCATTTTGTGCCCTAGGAACATAGAAAATCTTAAAATCTTGAAAACAAATCCGCAACGTCGTGAGTTTTTCTAATTCCGTTGAGAAGCTTGGCCAGTCCTGTGGATTCTTGAGCATTGTTATCATTTCCTTGCAGTCTGTCCCAAACCTCTGACATGGCGAATGTTGAAGCATGTTCTCCATTGCCCACCGCAGTGCTTCCAGCTCAGAGTGCAAAGCTGACTCCACTCTATCAAAATTACGCATTCCCATCAACTGCTATTCCCCGTATTGTCATTCCAAACCCATCCACATCCACTGAACGGAGCTGTAGAGGTCCAAGAGCCATCTACCATACAAATATTCCCCAAACTTATGGCTTGGGTATCAACCTCCATGTTTCCTTGCGAAGGGAGAGAAATATGTTCATTGGCTTTGAACCAGGCTTGACATTCCCTCTCTGGATATCGGGCTAACTCCAGTGGGTCTCTATCAGTCCCTTTGAACAATTTGTCATTCCGGGCCTTCCAAATATACCATATAAGCCACGGATAAGGATCCATGTCCAAGCCCGGTGCTGTTATGGCATTCTTCCTCCAAAAGAGGTAATCCATATTCTCATATGTACTCTGTAGTGGGAATAAAGTAGGACAAGTAGGCATCGACGATAAGGCCCATACTTGCTTTGCAGGTGGACACAGGAAAATGGCATGTGTAATTGATTCTTCAGGTTCTCCACAGCGTGGACAGTAATTGTCACATCTTATGTGCCTATAGTTTAAAGTACTCGTATTAGCAACATGACCTGTTATTAGTTGCCACATAAGATGGCACATCTTCTGGGGAGCCCACACCTTCCAAGCTTGTGCTTGTAGTTTAGTGATACTAGGTTCACTAACTACAGACACCTCCTCTTGTTTTAAGATATTCCGTGCAACCCAGTATCCAGATTTGACTGTATATTGTCAAATCCTTGTATAGCTCCAGCAATAAGTGTCCCTACGGTGTGTAGAACTAATTGACATACTCTTTATGAGAGGTATATCAGCAGCATCGACGTAGTTTTCCAGTCTCATCGCATCCCAAGTCTTAGTCTCTTGATTAATGAGGTCTCTTACTCTCATGTTTGGGTGCATCACCGGTGCCGATGGGGATGCCGGTCTCGCTGATATAGTAGGAATCCAAGGATCCTCCCATACTTTCACCTCATAGCCTGAATGAATCTTTTGTCTAATTCCCAGTAAAACTAATTCTCGTGCCGCCGATAAACTTGCCCACATATATGATGGGCTACTAACAGTAAGCTGACGCAACGGCGAGCTTAGTCGATAGTACCAACCTCTCAAAACACGAGCAACCAGAGAATCTGGGTATTGAACCAGCCTTCATAACTGCTTTGCTAGGAAAGCCAGGTTAAATTCATGGATCATCCTGAAGCCCACCCCACCTTCCTCTTTAGATAAGCACAATTTCTCCCATGTGGACCAGTGTATGCCTCTTTTCTTTGGGGGGGGGGGGAGAACTGCGCAATAGCACTAGCTAAGGCATCACATATCTCCATTGGTAGAAGAAAGCAAGACATTACGTAAGTTGGTAGTGCTAATAGAATCGACTTGATCATAACCTCCTTGCCACCTTTTGATAGCCATCTACCAGTCCATCCATTGACTCGATTCCTTAACTTATCCTTTAAAAATGCAAAAAGCTTGCATTTGGACCCACTGATATCCTCTAGGATTCCTAGATATGTTCCCATTCCCCCTTCATTCAGAATTCCAAGGGTATCTTTAATTTCCTGTCCAATCCTCTTACCAAAGATAAGGAAGATTTTTCAAAGTTAATGCATTGACCAGAGGCTTTTCCATATTTTCTGACCGCTTTCATTACTTCTTCACATTCACGGGGCTCCGCCTTGCAAAAGAACAGGCTATCATCAGAAAAGAGAAGTTGAGACCCGAAGGACACGCACGTGTGATGCGCATCCCCGTTATCTTCCCTCGGTTCTCTGCGTGATTTAGATAGCTAACGAGCGCTTCCGTGCATAGAATAAAAATGAAAGGGAACTAAGGATCCCCCTGTCTTAGGCCTCTGTCTGGAACGATATTCCCCCTTGCCTGACCATTCATAAGGACCTTATACTTCACTGATGTTATGCAGCGCATTATCCAGGTTATCCAGATTTCTGAAAACCCCATTTTCCTCATGGTGGCCTCAATGAAGGACCACTCCAATCTGTCATACGCCTTGCTCATGTCCGTTTTAATGGCCATCCTCTTATTATGTCCACTTGGTTTAGTTCTTAAAGCATGGAACATCTCCTCAGCAATCATAATGTTATCATATATCTGCCTCCCCGCAACAAAGGCTGACTGGGTCTCTGAGATTCTGTCTGGTAGAACTTTCTTTAACCTATGGCATAAGACCTTAGAGATTATCTTATAACAAACATTACATAAGATGATGGGGCGTAACTGATCCATCTGATTCGGCCTATCAACTTTCAGAATGAGACATATGTTGGTATCATTTAAACCGGTGGGTATCGTACCTTTAAACAGGAATTGATTAACCATAAGAATTAAATCCTCTTTTACAATATCCCAAAAATTTCTGGTAAAAAAGCGCAGTCATTCCATCCGGCCCTGGAGCTTTCTCTGGATGCATCGCGAAAAGCGCCACCTTGATCTCCCATTCAGTGACCGGTGCTGTGAGATTTTCGTTGTCTACTGGTGTAGTGGTTGTGGAGACCTCAGATAATGCTTCCTCTATTTCCTCCGAGTTTGATGATTGGAAAATATGTCTAAAATAATTTGTAGCAATGGCTACAAGTCTCTCCTCATCCTGTACCATATTTCCATCCTCATCCAAAAGCTGTGTAATCCTTTTACTTGCTCTCCTCTGCTTCGTGAGGGCATGAAAAAAAGTTTGAATTCCTATATCCTTCTCGTAGCCAAAACACCCTACACTTCTGCTTCCAGAATAGCTCTTCTTCCTTAAGAGCATCAGATAACTCCTTTATAGCCGCTGCAATCTCTTCAGTAGTTGCATCATCATTAGACGATAACTGATCTACTTTTTCTTTTAACTCTTCCACACTCTGTTCAGAGTTGAGATTGTGTTGTCTCTTCCAATCAATCAAAGCACGCCTACAGCTTGCTATATGCTCCATAATACTAGCTTCTGGTGGAAGTTCTGGTGATTTCCACCCCTCCAGAATTACTTGTCTCGATCTTCGTGGTCGCTTTCTAAGAATATCAGCTAAGATCGAACGATGATCCGATCCCCACATCCTCATATACTGAACTTTTGAGTGGGGGAATTTGTCATGCTGATCCTCATTACCAACAGCTCTGTCCAAACGGCATCTAACCGTTACTCTCCCAGCTCTTCTTCCAGCCCATGATAACATGTTCCCTGTAAATGGAAAGTCTAGCATCCCACAATCACTCAGTATTTGCCTGAAAGGCAAAAAGGAGCTGTCTGTTCGTTCTCTTCCTCCTTCTTTCTCTTCGTGGCATGTAATCTCGTTAAATTCACCAATCATGAACCATGGTCCAGTTCGTGTTGTTGAGAAACACGTAAGACGTTCCCAAACTAACTCCTTACGTTCTAATACATGATCTCCATAAAAAACGTCATATAAACTTTTGTCCCATCAATGATTGCCTCAATGTCAATCATTCTTTTATTTGAAAATAAAATCTTAACTTGAAAATCATCCATAAAAAAACAAAGCTAAACCTCCGCTGAGTCCAAGTGGCTCAACGGTAAATAAACGATCAAATGATAAGTCGGCATGAATGTCTTGCAACAGCAGCCTCCTATTCTTCGTCTCAAAAAGAAACACAAATCATGGGCGATGCTTCTGACACATCTCCGTAAGGCGTCGAACTGTGAGGTTGTTTCCGATCCCTCAACAGTTCCAACTGATTGTCTTCATTAACGAGGGTGGGATGGATTTTTTGGATCCATCAAACCATCATCCTGATTTTTAGCCTCCATCACCCTCCTAGACCCACCGTGAGATCGCCGTGCCCCTCCTTTTCCCCCCACCTTATGAGTGAAGGCAATAGTCCCTTTGATCCATGGGGAGCCCTTGCGAAGGATCACTGGTTTTGAAGATCGACTCCCCAAAGAGGGAACCTTCTTGCCATTATCCTTTTGGTGTTTCATGCGTCTAGATGAGCTCATTGCCTTTGACGAGCTTTCCATCTCCTGAGTCTTGTCTTCAATATCCATAAGCTCATCATCAAAGAGATCATCCTCAAGCAGCAAATCCTCGCCACCACCATCCTCCTCCATGACTCCAATATCACTTAAAGCTCCTATAACTTGTTCATCACTAGTTGCTGCTGGCCTTGGTGGCGATGAATACTTTAATTGCTTCGCCGCACTCTTGCATCTAATTGTCACATTGTCAGCCATAGGACCACGTTGAAAACCGGAAGACACAATAATGCTCGCCAAGCGCTTCACTTGACTTCCATCTGTAGCAACAATATGATTGCTACTTCGGGAAGTAAAACCAGCATCTGGAATGACAGCATCATGATCGTCCACATGTTCATATATACTCACTGACTTTGCTGGGGCCTTTTGTGCTAGAGGTTCAGTTGTACTCCTCTTTTCACGCCAGGAGATATGGCCATCACAATGATAAGGCCCCTTCCCATATCTTGATCCTTTGTTTCGCGCTTCGGCTCTCCTCTCATCATGCCTCCGGAAGATCCGATTAGAAGGATAGCGAGTATAGTGATCTTCCCTTCGTGACCGGGAATGACAGGCCTCACGGTCCCCAGCTCTCTTGTCACTGTGTTCACCACGTGGGAAAGACATTCTTGATTGTAAATCTCTGCTCCGTTCATACCGCTCTGGTGCACCATACACCTTGTGACTCCCCGTAGCGTGTCTTGTCTCACCAAGCAAAGGCTGGCGATCTTCAGGGAGTCGAACACGATCAAACACAGCAGTTCTCCCCAATGAGCTAGGCACTATTGAAAGACAGTACCCTTTTTCATGTGTCATTAGACCACATAAAGTGCGATGTTTGAAAAGCTTATCGTATTGTATCTCAATTGTGACCTCATCACCCTCCGGAATTTGCACCTTCCTCTTGAACTGTAGAGGTCTCCGCGAGTCAATATCAATCAACAATCTACCTTCAGAGAGGTCAACTGTATCCACAAATCCAAGCCTACCACCAATTTGTCTCAGATTCCTATCCGTCCACAAGTGGAGAGGTATCCCAACAAAGGTTTGTTATGTTTTTTAAAACCCACATAGTACGTTTTAGTATGTTATATTAGTGTCAAGATTAAAGTTCGGGACAAATAAACAGTTACAGCGCAGAATAGTGTTTCATTAATAATATGATCTTATAAAAAATATATATCCTTACGATCCCTTTGCACATATCGTGATCCATATATTGCGTTTGCATACTTCAAAAATTACAGTGATATTAGTATAAATTTGCATACATAGATCCTTAGAAAATCACAGTTCTCATTACAAGTCACTATTAAACAAGAAAAAGCAGAGTGAGAGAAGAGAAAGAGATATCTATCATGTCAACTACTCAAGAATGGGTCATGATTGGAGGAGAAGGTCCTGAGAGTTACAACCAGAATTCCTCATATCAGGCTTATATATGTAACTGAAACATTATGAACGATATGTATGCATGTATTTATGTATGTGTGTGTGATGTATGTATTAACATTTAATCTTCTCTTTGATCTTGTTGTACAGAGAGCATTGTTGTAGGCAGCAAAGGAAAAGATCAGCGAGATTATTTCAGCCAAACTAAGTCTCAAATTGTTTTCTGATCGCTTTTTTGTAGCAGATTTCGGTTGTGTGAGTGGACCCAACACTTTTGTGGCTGTTCAGAACATAATAGATGCTGTTGAAGAAAAATACAAAAAAGAAACCGGACAAAACCCAGTGGACAACATCGAGTTCCAAGTCCTCATCAACGACTTTACCAACAACAATTTCAATACCCTCTTCCAAGCACTCCCTGCAAGCAGACGATATTATAGTGCTGGGGTTCCAGGTTCGTTCTTCGAGCGTGTTCTTCCTAAGAATATTTTCCATATAGGAGTTATCAACTATGCATTTCATTTCACCTCCAAAATCCCCAAGGGGATCACGGACGGTGACTCTCCTTCATGGAACAGAGACATGCACTGCACTGGATTCAATGAAGCAGTCAAAAAGGCTTATCTTGATCAATACTCGGCGGACACCAAGGATCTATTAGATGCTAGAGTTGAAGAGATCGTCTCTGGGGGACTGATGTTGCTTTTTGGATCTTGTCTAAGAGATGGGGACAAGATTTCGGAGACCTCTTAAGGAATAGTGATGGATTTCATCGGCAAGTCTCTTAATGATCTTGCTCAGCAGGTACATATATGTTTTGATCTTTGATTATTTACCAAAATTTACATTAGCTAACATTTCATTTCATTTATTTTTTTGGTTTAAAAAGGGTATCAACGACTAGGACAAGGTAGACTCTTTCAGTACCCCCTCTCTACGTTGCCGAAGAAGGTGAAATAAGACGAATCATAGATGAGAACGAGACGTTTACAATCAAGGCTTTTGAGGATATCATTCATCTATATGGGGAGTTTCCATTAGACTCGAAAATCTTGGCTGTCTCTTTCAGATCGTCCTATGGAGCTTTTCTATCCGCACATTTTGGAGTTGAAGCAATGAAGAAAGCGTTTGAGTTTTTCAAGGTCAAAGCACAAGAACAGATAACTCGAATCAAGAACGCCAAACCGGGAATGCAGTACCTCGTCGTTCTTCGCAAGAACTAAGATCCAAATATTTAACTACCTAGTATGTTATTTCTGTGTATTTGATATCCACAGTTGGTTTTCTTATCGTTTGTCCTATAGTATTTCTCTTGTGTATGGGCATTTTACCCAACCTTGAAAAATCAAATCTACGTCGACCCGAAAATACAGGTTCATTTCGGATCCGAGTCCAAAAAAATAATATTTATATTGTATATTCTTTACTCGTGAGACTCTATCCGAGACCTAATCGGATACCCAAAGTATCCAAAATGTTTTGTCTATATTAGGTATATTTGGATATTTTAGATATGTTTTTGGTATATTAAAAAAAAATTGTTTAGATTTTTGGTTATTATCTTAGGTTCCGGTAAAAATTAAAAAAAAAAATTTAAAAAGTAAAATATATAAAACTTTGAGTGAATTAAACACTAAAGTAGTTTATTTAAATGTTAGAAGATTTTATTTGGTCGATATAATAAATGTTAGTTATAATATTTAGTTTTATATAATAGATTGGACTAATAATGGATTAAAGTGGTTTATTTGAATGTTAGAATGTATTATTTGATTACTATAATAAGGGGTTAGCTATAATAGGGGGTTTGTTATAATATTTGGTTTTACATAATAAGTTAAAGGAATAGATTTTTCGGATTGATTCTTTTTTAATAG